AGCCATTTCAGACAGCCAGGTAGGTTTGAAGTGCTGATTGTGCAGACAGGTCTGTACTTCAATAACAAAAGAGTACAAAAGGTTCCTGCTGTCAGCAGCAATACATTGTGACTAGGATACAACTATTCGTGACCATATCTAGAACTGATAGACTAAACATCTGTCAATTAGGGGTGCGTGAAAAAATCGATTCTTAGATGCATCGCGATGCGGATGTGAACGATTCTGAATCAATGTCAAAAATCGATTTTCTAAATATTTAATTTATACCGCAATGTTGACAGAACGCAAAAGGCGGAACTTGGAAGTGGGCAAGTGCAGCGCCGGGACAGTCTGTGGCGCTGTGGCGGCACATAACAAAAACACAAGTGGATGAGCGAGATATCCGACCAGCTCCCTCTGCATTAAAAGGTTAGGTCAGGAGTCACAACACAAATGTTAATGAGACACATTTTGTCCTTTCAACAAAAATCAAACCATCTTGGGAGCCACAACATTTAATGTCCAGTATGTCTCAGTATGTGATAATGTCCTAGTATAGACTAAACAATATAAACAAAAACACAGATTTACTTTGCTGTGCTTTAAGCTTTAGCTCAGCTATAGCCGCTTTCCTCCCATCTCCGCCAGAAAACTTTTTCTCAGAAGTAGATCAGTTAAATGTCCCTCAACGTTCAACTGTTTTACGAGGTTGAAGTTGCTTCTTATTCTCCAGCTTCTTGTTCTTACCCGTTCCACCTTAAATTCTAACTGAGGCGCCGAATGTAAATGCAGCACCATTTAAGGAGGAACAGGAGAATTCGAAAGAGAAGCTGACTAAAGACTTCGCAACTTTTTAGTGTGACAGTCTCTCCTTGCAGATTTAACATACCAGGAAACCAACTGCACTGCTTATAAATGCGAATAACGCATCGTTGCTAGGTGACCTGCAGTCTGCACGCCGGTTCTCAGTCGTTGCGAAACAGGGATCCGCGCTATGTTGCACACGTCCCCAAGATATTACTGACACAGCGATCCCCCCCGTCTCTACAACCAGACCAAAACCAAAGTTATAAAATCACTAAAGAAAACGGGTAGAATAGCTGTAACATGTGCTGCGTGGACATCCACTGCCACTGGATCTTATTTCACCGTAACAGCGCATTTTATCACAGATGAGCGGCACTGAATTAGAGCCTTCTAGTTGACTTGCCACATCACTTCCATTTGTTTTATTAATAAAAGGTATTGGAAGTAAATTCATTATGGATCATTACAAATACTTTGCTTTAAAAGTACCAAGTCACTTTAAATAACAATAACACAGTCACTTAAAAATGTATATTGTCTCTATATTCTGTGTATATTTTGTGTATATTTAATATATTTCCGTTGGTTTTTCTTGTATTTTTATTTTTACTTTCTGTAGAGTGATTATCTGAGCCTCACCACAAGCATTTCAATGCATAAATATCCTGACATGTCATGCAAATGACAAAAAAACTTGAAACTTGAACTCAAAACTTGAGCTCACACAGTGAGAAAATATAAATGCTATATAGAAAAAAAAAAGATGCATCGAGATGCATCGTTAATCGTTTTATAATCGCATCGCAGCCCTCTGAATCGTAATCGAATCAAATCGTGAGGTGCCTAGAGATTCCCACCCCTAGTGTCAATAGACTCTGCGCAACTGGAGCTCTCGCAAAAACGTGATGATTCTGGAAAGGACATCATCTGATAAATAGTCACTGGCTTTCTCTATAAAACACGAACCGCACTCAAACTAACATCTGTCCACAAGAACAGGAAACCTATCCTTTAAATGCATGTCATCTAAGATGGATTACAACAGAACTACAACTAGAAGTATTCAAAATGACAAACAAACTCTTGCCACAACAGTTAATCCCTTCACTCTTACAAAAGAGAACTGCAACATAGTTTTTCTCAACAAGCAAGCAAAAACCTTCTTGGAAATATTAGCAAGTACCTTGAATCATGCTTTATTATTAGCTGTAAGCAATGGAGTAACAAAGCAACTGAAGCGATACCTTAGGCACTGGACGTCCCACCTCTGCAAAGTATTTAATCCAAAAGTGCAGTCTAGGCATTACACAGATTGTTCCAATGGGAAATTAACACAAAAGAGGAAATGATACATAAATGCATAAGCTAAAAACAGCAGCTGCAAACTACCAATTAATTCAGAGTAATCCAATTAGTGCCTTTAAATGCAGAAGACTCAGCTATGCATAGCAATGTCTCAAATCTATACTGAAATAATCTAATCACTTGGTATCTTGGTATATCAGCACTAATGAGACTGATACCACAACTGGAACTATAGGTAAGAGTTTCAAAAGGAAACTCTCACATAACTGCCTGTGAGCCTTCGTGCCTGTGAATGTGTGTGAGAGAGATGGGGGTGGGTCTCCTTTCAGGAAATGATGCTTTTGTTGGAGTGTGACCGAGATTACTGGCAGTCAGACCCCAATTTTACCGTACATGCTTTACTAAGAATCGAACACAGCTTCGGAGGACACTGCGTACCTCTGACATGGTACAAAGACACAGTCTCTCCAAATTAACGATTGGGCCTAAAAGCAGTTTGCATAAAGATGGTGCATCAGTTATAGAGGGTTTGTTTAAAAAAATGGCTTAATGAAACAGATAAACAACATATCACCTGAGCAGCTGCCAGGGCTGAATTTAGTATGTTGCTAAGTCACATTCTGTATAGAATATTGTTGCTGTCCTTTAGGTTTTCAGCTTTTTAAAATTATTATTACATTTGTATTTGGTACATTTCATAATGAATGGATAAAAAAAAATAGTCCAAAATAATTAAAACAAACCCTCTTTATATATGTAAATATTAAAAGTGAACAAGTTTTGTCCCCTCATCTCCTACAAAATGTACTATTTTGGAGCTATGAGGTTTTGTTACAACAGTGACACATTGTTATGGGCTGATACAAACTAATATTTCTGTCTATGAGAAGGTCAGAGCATTGCACAGAAAAGTTAAGGGTTAACAGGTTTGCCTGTAGGGCAGGTTCATTTTTCCTCTCCTCAATTTGTGATAATGCTGTTATTATATTTTTTATTTTTTTGTAAAGCATAATATTTTTGTGTTCAAATCTTTACTTATTTTATGAGGCTTTTTGAATATAAAATAAGAAGTGTGGCCCTGCGATGGACTGGTGACCTGTCCAGGGTGTATCCTGCCTTCCGCCCAATGACAGCTGGGATAGGCTCCAGCACCCCACCGCGACCCAGAAGGATAAGCGGTTTAGATGATGCATGTATGTATGTATAAGAAGTGTGATGTATGAATAGATGAGTATTTTAAAAGAATCAAGTGAAGCACTGGGGGAACAGCAACCTCGCTACACAGCAGTTATGCTCACAAAGTGTCCTGCTTCTGCGCTCTGCCAAACAGGTTTGTGGAAAGTGGGAGCCTGCTACAAAGCCACAAGCTCAGTTCAGGAAAACCGCAGGTAAAAACATCTAATTCCTGCAGCCAGATTAAAATTACTTCAACACTCACAGAAAGTGCATAAAACATCAACATTCTTATCCTCAGTAATGATTCCTTCAAAGGACAGCCCATGTTTTGAGTGTCTAATAATGTAAATTAATCTAGCTATGCAAAACATTTCTCTAACAGGTTTATGGAATGGAAAAACAGCTCGCTCTAAGAACTGATCACACAGTTAGTTAACTTAAGTAAACAGCATGGAAACGCTGAAAAATGAGGGGGGGTGGTATTTAACAGGAAATGACACTCCTCAAAGCTATCTAACCCATCTGACAACCTGTCTGGCCCATCTGAAAAGCTGGAGTATTAGGGTAATTTTAATATCCTTTAACAGAAAATTAGAGACAAGCAAGAATAAGTGAACTCGTAAAAATAGTCTGATTTACTTAAATGTGAATTCAATGCATACATTAATCCTTTGAATAACGATTAAATTGCGAATGGAATTTTCTACCCACTTGTTTCTCAACATGATCCCACCTCAAGAGAGGGAAACCATTGCGTGACAAAAACGGAGTTCAGAAAACAGTCAATTTACTATGCAACACTCAAAACAGGAATGGTTTTACTCAAAAGGAAAGCGAAAGTGGAAGTCTTGCCAGTTAGTTTGTGTGTCACTTGATAAAAAAAACCAACCTCACAAGTCAATATTGAAGGCTCTCTCTTACTAAGCCCATTATATTACATTTATATTAAGCACTTTCCTATTAGCTTACTATGAGCTTTTGATCACTTATAAAACACGTGCAAGCAACTCCAAAGTGAATATTATGCATATTCTAAAACACGATAAAGTCACAAGACAAAACAGTTCTTATTGTGGAACAACCTCACCTAGTTGCTTTGTATGATGTTATAAACGTGACCAAATCAAGCTTCAATCTTAGGTCAGTGCTCTCTCTCACTGAAAACTTTATCTTTTGATTTACTTTTCCATGTCATCATCATTCAAGTTACAATTGTGTAGCGGTAACTCAAGCCTTCAAATGGCATTTCACCTCTCTGCTGCATCTACATGCTCTGAGAACCATGTAGTTTGCCAATTTACTTAAATACCTCATGTTCAAAAACATCACAAATGTGTTTGGAATTATAGTAAAGGGATCCAAGCTGGCAGAAGGCTGGAGAAAGCTGTAGAAGGTGGCTAAAAGCAGCAGCTTTGGGTAATCAGATAAGGACAGCAACTCCGCATGATCAAAATAAAGTCAACAACAGCAGTCTCACAAGCTAGATTTCTGGCTACCAACAAATAGTCCTGTAGGTTCCGTTGCTCCATGTGGCCAAGACTGCCAAAGAACAAAAGGCAAATGTTTTTGCGTGATGTTCAGCGGCAGGCAATTTATGGTTTTCAGATCAGAATAAAGTCAATGACAGTTGTCTCCCAAGCTAGATTTCTCACTATCCCCAAGAAGCCCTGTATATTCCATCGCTCCATGTGTCCAAGACTGCCTGTTTGACCAAAAGACAATTGCTGTTTTGTGGTGCTTAGCAGCAGGCAATTGCTACATCTTGCTCCAGAATACTTGCTGTTGTCATGGTGTCCAAAGCAGGTAACTGATTTTCTGCCATTTAGCTCGATAAACACAAGTTTGCTTCTCATCAGACTAATTAAAAAATGGTGTGTACACACAGTGTAGATAGCCAATAAGAGTGTAACTGTGTGGCCGTCTACATCAAACGGTTCGTGCAAGTTTGTGAATCAGCAATCTGAGACTGAGATTAGAGATTCAGGGGGATCAGACTGAAACTTACCGGCGCAAAGTCTTCATTTCTGCTTGATGTGAGGTCAGAGAAGTCCATGTCACTGAACACATCCAGAGACGCAGAGTTAGGCTGGTACTGCCTGAAAGCATTAGGCAGAAAAAACAAGGCAGAAAAAACAAAAAAACAAAAAAACAAAAAAACAAAAAATGTATAAAACTAAAGCAATCCAACGATGACAAATGTACATCTTTCATCAGAATTCTGACTTTGGTCTGAGATTTGATTTCATTATGTTTAATAATTTTTGGGGACCTGAATCATTTTAACACAACTGGCCAGCTTGCTACAAGCTAATTCTCACCGAACTATACAGGTGTACTTTCTAAAATAACAAAACAGTGTGACTTAAGGCTACATAGTATACAACGTACTTTAATGGTATGAGAGGTATAGTTTGCACATGAGTCAAATATAAAGCCAGAAAGAAGATTCAAACCGGGAGGAAAATAAGTCTGAAGGGTGACTTTTTCTATGACATGCTCTGGTTTCCTTTTTGAATGTCTGTGGCCTTTCATTTCCAGTTCTCTAATATCTTAAAAGCAAAGTAACTAAAATCTAGTACCTTCTGTCCACTGACATAATAGAAATGCCCATATTAGAGATAGAAACAATATAAAAATATAAAGTTTTAGTTTAGATCAGGGGTGTCCAATCTTATCTGTAAAGGGCCAGTTTTTCATTTCAAAGTTCGCTTTGCAGATGAGATTAGACACACTTGGTTTTAGGGCATTCTGATAACAGTATAAGTGGTATAAGTTGTACAGTACATTGTACCCAAATCCAATAATACAAAAACAAAAAAGCCTGTTACTGGCATCATAAATTTGTGTGACTCACTGTACAATATAAACAAAACTTATTTTGGTTAACTAGTGTCTACCAATGTGTATTGCACTGCTATAACACACCTTAGTAGACATAACTGCATGCTAAAGCTGCCCAAAAAATTTTACAATCACAATCTTGATTCGTTAATCAGTGTGATACAGTTAAAGAACAGGGTCAACTCTGCAAACTGTGGGAGGGCCGCAATGTTCACCTTAACACCGCCTTAGCATGATGACCCCAGTTTCACTGCAGTAATAGGGAACTCTTAAGCGCCCAAATCATGTTTTAGATTATAGCATCGTATAGCATACTGTTATCAAAGTGCTAACCGCGACACTTCTGCGCCGCACCAGCTGCACACAGCAAGCTCTCTGCATTGACTGCATTGTATCAAGTTTGCCTGGAACTGCGTGCCACTAAAGGAATGCACAAAAAGACAGATGGAGCTGTATGAAGAATCTACTTTTCTACCATGCTGCGTGGCTTTTGGTATAAAACAAGCTCATATTAGCCTCATTTGCGTTGTTGATATTGTATCCTCAGTGACACACTAAGCAGACTATCTAAAGCTGAACTAAGTTAGCCTAATGCCAAGACACAGCCCAATTCTTTATTAATATCAATGAAGCACTGAACAAATATTCAAAACGAAATAGAAAAAAGATTTGCAGACAAGCAGCCTCACACTATCTGGGTGTTGAAAATTTGCCACTGCAACAAAGTTGGCCCCTGAAAATGTTTGATTCGGCCTGGCAGCCACCCTAAACCCACCCACTTACTTTTATACTATAAATATCTCACACAATTCACAATTTTCTTTTAAAAAGTATTTTTGAAGTATTTCTTTAACAAGATATTGCATACTGTTATAAAACATGTTTAAAACCTCAACTTCTTTATTTGTATATTGTTTTGTCTTTTTGGCCCTTGGCTCACTACAAAAAGTTTGGGCTACATTTGTATAGCTGATTTGTAGGTTAGAACAAAGGTTTCTCTTTGGTCTGTTTTACAGTTTTTGTTCTTTGCCATTTTTTCAAATATTTTATTTATCATCAGTAAATGGTAGTAATCTAACCTAATTTTGTATGACTTGCACACTTTATCATTAGAGATGGCATATCTGTATCGATGGGTACTGGTATCAGACTGATATCAGCAGAAAATGGCGGATCAGATATCGGAGAGAAGAATGAGTTCATCTAATCCATTACAGCAGTTTGACCGTGACAGCCTTCTTTTAGACGTTCATCTAAGGTAAAAGTGCCCCAAATAAAAATAGCTTGTGTTAAATATCAAAAAAAAAAGAAAAGAAAAGGTGTTATTGTGTCATGTCTATTAAATCAACAACCATCACGTAGCAGGACACCATACAAAAAAAAAAGTTAGGATGGGCTTAGACCTAAGGCTCCACAATTCTGGCGAATTCTCCATTAGCACAGTTAATGATGCATGCACTTCTTTATCTAATTGTTTTGCTGCAGTGGCAGAAATTTTGCAGACACTGGTCTGCTGAATGTATACAGAGGAAACTGTTAGGCTGTGCTAAGGAAAATAAATTCTGGTCCATGCATAACGCATGTAAATATAGAAAATGCCCCAATGTGTCTGCTCATAACATTCCAGTTATAGAGAGCAGCTACTGAGCCCATGAACAAAAGATCCATGTCAGACAGAAGTGTGTAATTATATGCATGTCTGTGCATGTTCTGTAGCCAAGCTCTTTGAAGGCTGATCCAGAAACTGCATTGTTATACCACAATGACTCATTACAAACAACTTATTCTGAGCAATATTTTGTGCCCATAAATTACAAATAAGCAAAGCTTGAATAAGACTTACAGTCTGTGATACTGAAACAACTAAAAGAAAAATTATGAGCTTTTATTCTCTCTTTCGATATCTCTTTTTTGTGTTGGCCTGCCTGAGACGCACTTCTTATCTTACATCAGACTGCATGTCAAAGAGAGAGAGAGGGAGAGAGAGAGACACAGACACAGAGAAAAGAGAAAATCAGAGAGACTAGTGTTTAGCCATCACTCACCTCCCAGATTGTTGCATAGGATAGTGCTGGTTGTAATGAGGCTGCTGGGAGAACGGCTGCCACGAGTTAGTGGAAAACAGCTGATTCTGGAGATGAAAAGGAAACAAACATCACATTTTTCATAGGCTCTTTGGGAATGGAGTTAAACAACAGTTATAGCACCTTGGGTCACTCAAATGAATGAGGTGCTATTTCAGCAAAACAAAGAAATACTCCTGACCAAATAGTCAATATCAAATACACCCAGCGTGGTCTCAATCTGTGATATTTACACTTTAAATGTGCACAATGGCCACTCAACCTCTGATAAGCCAGTGTACCAAATAACCACCCACGAATTCCACAAAGTGAAGGAAGTCAGGCCTTAAGGTTACCATGACTAGCACAGTGGTGCCATAACTCTACTGGAGAATGTTGATGACCCATTCAGCAAATAAATAGCAAATTTCTATCCAAAGATGAAGGTAATTACAACATCTAATAGGGGAAAAAGAAAGAGAGCCAGAGACACAAGGAGAATAATAGGCATAAGATATTTACTGGCCATATTTCTACTGTCACAAGTCAATATCAAGTGAACAACAACTAAAGACCTCTAAAGTTCACTGTGCACAAGTGTTTTCATTTAGGTGGGGCATACAGTATTGCCTGATTGACTTATTATTACATCTTTCTTGTATAACTTTAGGTGCTGTGGTCAAGCAGACAACAGCAATGGCCAGAGGAAGACAACCTGAAACTACAATCCTACCATACTGGGACAAATCCCTGGCAGTCAATAGAAATAAAGGTTTTAAACAACAAAATTTAAAACCGTATTGTCGATAAACCTCTTATTTACTGTCTTTTGTGGAAAACACCATCATTATCAAAACCAGGTGCATCTAGACAGTAAAGTCGGCAGGGAAGAGGGAGGAGCTTTGCTAAGTATGTACCCACACTCAAATGACTGGGCTTTACTTCTGAAGTCACCTCTAAATTCTAGGGGGTTTCATTTTTGGAACTTATTTTGTGTTTGGGTTGGCACAGAGGGCAGTGATGAAGTTCTATTTGGGAACTTTTATTTATTTGAGTCAAATCAATCCATGTAGTATACAATTAGAAATCTGCAGAATCAAGACATTTTAACACAAAAAACATCAAAAACTGAAATCACTTCTGAACTCCTCTGAAGCCCTTACTGTTGCTGCACAATACAAAATGTTATACTCCAATTATTTTGCAACTCCAATGTGCCAAAATATATCAGTGAAGACTTCAAATTTCTGTACGACTTTCGTAAAATCTATGAGCTTATTACTGTGGGTGGTACTCTCCTCCAAATGCATTAATACTGCAATAGTGCAACAGTTTTCTAACCCAGAACCAAGCTAACATTAGATTACTTGCTGTCTCATATGTTTGCAAAGGGTTTTATGGCCACAAAGATCTTTTATAAAAAATGTTTTGTATGTCTCCGTTTCTGGCATCTTCAAAACCTAAAAACACACGATTGTTTAGACATAAGAAAGGTCTGATACACTGATTTGCCATCTAAATGTGATAATACAGGGCGACTCAAAAAGATGTATCCGATTTCAAAGCGGCATATTTTTACAACAGTGAGGCACCTAGGAACCAATCACATACCAATTGAAAGAGGGGGTCACAGATTTTCTGACTGTCAGTATGGCAGTGAACCTCCAACAGCTCAGAGCATTCATCATTGGTACCAACAGTTCCAAAAAAAGTTAACCAGCATCGCCAGATCTCACGCCGTGTGACTTTTTTTTGTGGGGGTACGCTAAGGATTCTGTTTATATGCCACCACTCCCAACTGCACTGGATGATCTCCGAAATCACATTGAAAGAGTCGTGAGTACAGTGACACCTGACATGCTCAATCGAGTATGGGATGAATTTGACTATCGCGTGATGTTGTCCATACAGCTGGAGGGGGTCATATTGAGCACTTGTAAAATTAGGTAAACTTTATGCTCACTTAAACCATTTACAATTTACTGTGTTGTTCTGTAATGATCTACAAGTGAAATAAATCATTTTGAAATCAGATGAATCTTTTTGAATCACCTTGTATTTGAGTGTATTTCAGTTCATTTAGCCCAAAAAGTGCATGTTTTAGGAAAAGAGTGATTAAATAATTTACTGTCATTATTGCCTGTCACTTTCAGAAACATGATTCATGTTGCATCCTCACAGATTTATGCTCAATATGCAAAAAAAAATGTAAAAAGCTGCATTTCAAAATAGTAAACATCCCAGCATTTAGACATTAATGAAAACAAGTGGGGAAGATATAACGTGGGGAACAGCCTATGGTACCTCCATGGAGTTAGGGAGTGGAGGACTGGGCACACTGTACTTTGGGCTCCTCAGCTGAGGGCCCTCTGGGTGCAGGAAGTCCTCCGTGTCCATGACAGCAGATGTGGAAAGAATGGGCATCAGGCTCTGTGCAGCAGCATGATGACTGACCCAGCCAACGTGTCAAAGGGAGCGAAAGGTTTCATCATTTTCCAGCCATCTCTGAGGAGAGGGAAGCGAAAAGAGAGAAAGAGAAAGACATGTCACGAACGGAAACAGACTGAGACAGTCTTTCGTTGTAAAACTGTTTGCACTGATGTGAAACTAGATACAGCCGTGCCCTTCTCTCGACAAATACCAACACGGCAGAGAGATGAATCTTCCTCAAGGCGAAAAAGCAACTTCATGAAAGTTAGACTTGCCTTTAGCTAGCTAGCAAAGTTAAACTGGGTGTTCAAACAGCGTGTAAGGAGAAATGCAAAAAGGCTAGCAGAAGAGTGAAAAACTTAACCTAGCGAACCTAATCTACAAGCGAACTCCTTTCGTTATAGCTAGATTGGCAGAAGTAATACTGTTGAAATATAGATGTTCCAGTTTCGTACAAGCCTGACTTCAACACAAAGTCTGTCAATCCAAGTAGTTAGCTAAGTAACCACACAGTGGACAAATATATAAAAACGACAGACTGTTTGGTTTTCCAAGTGCTACTAGCGTAGAAAAGAGCTAACTTGACCTAGCTATGAAACACCAAACGTCGAGCTCGTGTACAAACCCTTAACGAATGTTTCCACCGTCAGCCCATTACCATAACTTAATGACGAATTAATATGACTATAGTTCTGAAAAGAGCACCGTATGAACTAGCTAGATTTCTAGTCGTGTTGAACTGCTGGCGAACACCGTTAACCGAACCGGTTTATTAACAAGGCCGAATTCTATTGTTTGCCCGGCTAGCCTTGCTGCTAGTTACTCGTTAGCTCGGTCGCTAACGACATTCGCTCGAGCGACACCTCTCTCTCGCTCGCGCAGATAGAAGAACTTACCGCACGCGGCTCAGACTCATAATCCCAGCATTCTCCCCCCTGCGGGCTGCCTCTCTTCTAACTCTGTTTTTTTGGTTCGTGTAAATCGGGACCTTTACGCCATTATTATGTTTTATTTTCTCGGCACGGTTGTTTATCTCACTTCCTGGTCAACGTCGCCATCTTAATTTAGGAAGGAGGAATCTTCCGCTGGCGTCGATTACGTCACGGCCTCGTCGGCCATAACTGACCGTCCAGCTGGGAGGCGAGATTCAACAAAACGTGAACTGAGGTCAAAAATGTGATGGGTTGATACTTTCTTGAGTGCGGAGCACCTAAAGTGATGTGTTGATTATTCTTTAATAAGGCGTGGCCACAAAATAATATATTGAGGCCACAAGGTACTACATTGATGTCCTGATCTTTACATCTGAGACACTATACGGGCAAAAGTATTGGGACCCCTACACATTACACCTACAGGAGCATGTATCCCACATATCCCATTTTGCATCCATAGGCATTTATATGGAGTTGGTCTCCACTTTGCAGCTATGACAGCTTCCCCTCTGCTGGGAAGGCTTTCTACAAGATTTGGAGTGTGTCTGTGAGAATTCATCTAGAAGAGCATTTGTGAGGTCAGACACTGGTGTTGGACGAGACGGCCTGGCTCGCAATCTCTGTTCTAGTTCATCCCAAATGTGTTTGATGGGGTTGAGGTCAGGCCTCTGTGTGGGCCAGTCACAATATTCCGCACCAAACTCACCCGGCCATGCCTTTCTGGACCTTGCTTTGTGCACTGGGTCACAGTCAAGCTGGAACAGAAAAAGGCCTTCCCCAAACTGTTCCCATAAAGTTGGAAGCATATAGTTGTCCAAAATGTCTTGGTCTGCTGAAGCATTAAGATTTCCCTTCACTGAAACTAAAGAGCCTAGGCTAGTCCCTCAAAAACAACCCTATAGCATTATCCCTTCTCCACCAAACTTTACAGTTGGCACAATGCAGTCAGGTAGGTAATGTTTTCCTGGCATTCCTAAATGCTTCCACTTTTCAATAATACCACTCACAGTTGATTGTGGAATATTTAGGAGGGAAGAAATTTCACAAACTAAATTGTTGAAACAGTGGCAGCCTATTACAGTACCACACTCGAATTCAGTGAGCTCTTTAAAACACCCCGTTCTTTCACAAATGTGTAAAGGCAGACTGCATGGCTAGGTGATTGATTTTATACACTTGTGGCAATGAGACTGAATGAAACACCTGAATTCAATGATTAAGAGCTGTGTCCCAATACTTTTCTCTCTAAAGTGCATTTCTCATAACTTGTGGCCTCAGTATTGTAATTCATGGCCACACTTTATTAAAAAATAATCACCATGTCACCTTAGGGGCTCTGTGCCTGAGTATGTTCAAGCGATAATTCTTTTACCTTTATGTAGTAGCATGATTATTCCAAGAGTGGGCGATTAGAGTGATTGCACTGGGGCCCATTGTGCTGCAGGGTCCCCCCCGCCAAGGTCTTTGTTAGGCCCCTTTTATAGATACTAATACAGCTCTACACCCATGACTCACAGAAAAATCCTATTTCTTAAAGGGGAATTCCACTGACTTTTCAAAACTTCTGCACAATTCAACCATTAAGATGAAAACAAAGGCCTCATTAACACCTGGCATTTACACACATAATAGCCAGAAGATAGACTGTTGGCCCACTGACGGCAAAGCTGGTGGCCCCTGGCTTTTTGCTCAGCGTTTTCCGGGCAGACCACTGGTGGTTAAGCAGCGTACTAGACATAATGTCACTTTACATCACTCATTTCCCACTTACAGTCCAATTGACTCTTTTCCTTAATTTCTTTCTTTCATTATCCTTTGTAAATTAGTTTCGTAAATAATTTTAACATTAATGTCATAAATAAAGCTGATTTCACAGCTGTGAGCCATCTAGTCTTGGCAATGACATTTGCAGCAATATGAATTTATATTAGGCCTTGTCATTAATTTTTTTCTCTCAGTTGTTTGTAATATTTGTTTTATTTGTTTATTTTTCAAAAGGAAAACATATTAAAATCTGTTTGAGGAGATTAAAAAGTAGTTAGACCTTGTATGTAAGACAATAATCTGGGTGGTCCAAGTAGCATACAGTCAGCGGGGTTCCAACCTTATCGAGCCAGTGGACCGACATGTGCTTGCTATCTCAGACTGGGGTAGCCATATTTCGGTTATCAAAAGTGAGAACACTGGGGGCAGAAGGGCAGCACGCAGAAGCCTGTAGAAAGCAAATGTCAAGATGAAAGCAAATCCAAATCCCAATAATTTCAGGCAATTTGGAAATCCTGTCATTCTTAGGTCCCAAAAAGAGGACATGTCCTGGCAAAAGAGGATTCCGCCTAATTAACATGCATTTTTGGTGATATGATCATAAGTGCACAGCGCTAAGTACAGGTGTGAGCAGGGTTCAGGACAGGGTCGCACATGACCACATAACATTTGTAGTGACAGTCCTATTGCCTCCCTTACAGCAACAAAGGACATCAGCAGCAGAGACAAAAACAGCAGCATAGTTTCTTCCTTTGTCTTCTCTTTTGTTTGTTTACAAGCCAGTTCATTCAGGCTAAACACTTGTAACAGCCGGTACATCTACAAGAACCAGAACCAGTGGGACATTTTTTGCCTGACAACAAACACAACGAGAGACTGATAAAGTAAATATCAAATCTCATCACAGGTGGTCAGTGGAGATGCATTTAAGACACACGGAAATGGCATGTGTAAACAGCTGCATGTTCACTTGTGATCAGATCACCCAAGATGTATTAACCGCTTAAAATTACAGGCTTATTACATACTAAGGCTTACTATCCATTAAATACAGGGACTTCAGTGCAAACTGGTGGAGGTATTGTTAGGTTATAGAAGTGTGTAATGGTCATTTACAGTGGTGGTGATAGGAGCCAGGGGTCTTGATGGCTACACAAATTTAACCATTTTATTTGCTATCCAAAACAATCAGTGAAGCTAAACCTATTTTGTTTTTATATGTAATATTGATAATGGTGAAATTAGGGCAACATGACAATATATATTGCTATTGTGATAAATTGTCACAACATAATGCAGTATGCTTTTCAGAACATATGAAGCATATCATCAGTACTTGTAGATACTAAACAACTGCATGTTTCATTATAAAGAGAGCAAAATAAGTCCCACTTAACTGGATTTAGTGCAACACAGAATGCTTAATATTGAATAAAAATAATTGTGTTTACAGTTTTTCATAGTATTTTTTTTATGTAGCACTACTGGTTCTTTTTTTCAGTCCCAACCAATTAGATGTCTAAAGAAATCAATATCGTAACACATCATGTACTACAATTTTTTTTTAACTTTCACAATGCTATTTTTTGCCATATCGCCCACCTCTAGGATAAATAGTGGCAAATCTGAAAAAAAAAAATATTTGGGCACTATTTCGCCCGTTTTTGCCAAGAATGGATTTTCGAAAATATGAGCCAAAGCTTATCTCACACTATCATTACATATCATTACATCATAAAACAATGTCTCGAGCATCAGGCAGCATATTTGTTTTCATTTCATCTCATAACTTTCTGTGAGGCATTAAATGCTTTGGCTGTCTGGTTCCTATCACTACCACTGTGAATAATTCTGACTCTGTTTCTGCAAAAAAGTGCACATCAAATCACTCTGAATGACTTTTAACTCTGAATGACATTTTAATGATTATGCAAAATCATATATTGCCCCTTTAACAACATACCAGTTAGCTTCCTTCAACACTACACAGACAGCACTGACATCTGTTCATATCCCTCTTACTGTGTCAAACTTCCATAATGAATGGATCAATAAAAATGGTCCAAACTTACTTGGGAAAAAAATCTTTACATGAACTTCCAATGTAAGTTAACCCTTTAAGGCCTGTTAACACAAAAAAGCAGCTGTTTTGGCGATTCAATCTGATTTAGCAGTGCTGTTGATGCATGTTGAACTCAACAAAGCTGAACATTTGTAAAGTTTTGTTTGTATCACAAAATATAATTTAGAACAAGATAAACACATCAATAATAAACATCAATAATAACATACTTCACAGTCTGATTTTATCATTGCTCTGATCAAACAAATTAGATGCAAATCAGTGCATCTAACAATAAAGGTGATTCTTTTATACAGTGATAGAAAACACAGTAGCACACTGAAAACTCCACATGCTGCACTATTTCAAAATGGACAAAGTGGACATGCAGATCAAATCAGCAAAATCTCAGACTGTATCTTTGGTGAGACATCCAATTTGACAGGGTTGAGAATGTTTTTTTCCTTCTCCTGAAAAGTTACCATTACCATAATTTTGTTCTGAGAGCAACGATTTGTTTCTTTGTAGTTGTATGTATTGTCATGTGCAGGACTCAAAATTCAAACATTCGTGAACCTCTGTTGTGTGCTTTAATAAATAAAGGAAATAGTTGTCTATATCATCATCTTCCTTCTCCTCTTTATTTAACATCAACTTTAACATAATCATCATCATCACCACCACCACCACTACTACTACCACCACTATGTCAAATACATTTAACTCACCTAAATGGATCATATTAATCAGCTGGCCCTGGTCACCTGAAGGAGCTGCCAGCTATGTCAACTGGAAACACTGGAGCACTTCTTAGTGTTTCTGAAACTCAGTCCAGGAGGACACTGAACTGCAGTTTATTTCCCAGCTGCAACACAACTGACTCAGCTAAAAATCAACCACAGGACTGGAGCCTGAGACACTGCATGAGCACAAATGAAGAGTAGAACTGTATATCAACATACACAAAACTTTGCATCTCTTTATAGAAAAAGGAAAAATGTTCTTAATATTCCTAACTTTAATATATGTTAATGTAATTGTCATCAGACAATACCACTGTTTCATTTCATATCACAGTTTGTCTGTTTAGTAGTGAATCATGTATGCTGATGTCTGCTGCTGCCACTGTAAGTGTGCTAAATTAATCAGTTTGAGTTGAATGCAGACCCAGCAGCAGCATGTAAAACCATTAGTGTTTTGAATGAAGGAGAAGATCAGGCCCATGGGCAGGAGCCAGCAGAACAAGGCTGTCTTTCAGTCATTCTGGCTATGTGGCTTTACATTAGCGCACCCCCCAGTGGAAATACCTTGTAAGCACATCATGTTATTATCAATACTATGTATTGGTGTTCCACAGTTCATGGACTTTGAGAGCCTATATAAAGCCCCAGCTGCAGGCCTCGGACATCAGTGTGTTAGCAGCTAGGCAGGGCTGTCTTTTACCTGTGCTGTCGACGTGATTATTGCACAGGACAGCCTACATGACTTCAATTTGAAATACTGACATTTATCTCTCGGTCTCTCGCTGTGACTGAATTGCCCGCCTGCTACCTCCGTGATCGTTTTAAAGGATTTGAAGGATGATGGCTCTTCCTCTCGAGATACGCGTTTTTATCTTGTCTCTGGCGGCACCGTTTGTACTTTACACAGCGAATAATATCTCTTCATTGCTAACGTAAGTTATGCTCTTCAAACCCTCGTAATAGACTTGAAGGTCTTTTGTAATAGACCTAAATATTTCAGGTATTTGCCATGATCGTTTTCAGACATCTGTAACCTGATTGGCTAATTAGAGCGGTTCATTAGGGGTCCAAGCACATAGTGCGGGAAATTCTGCTCTGAAATGTCTTATATAGCATTCTTATGAAGTGAGGAGTTTTTTCTTTTCTTTTCTTGTCTTTTCTTTTCAAAGAACTGCTATTACCAATAGAATGCTATTGCAAAAGCCATTCAGTTTATTGCCAATATAGCCTGTTGCTCAATGTCCAGTTCATTTTGATTAGTATATGAGCCAATAGGCTCAAGTAGGACAGACAGTTTCAGGGCCAAACTCTACACAAAATGTTGACGAAATGTCCTGTCTGTTCTCAGTTGTGGCTTGGATACAAATATCTATGATCTTGCTGCTCTATTCCTCATCTCTAACTGTAATTTTTTGTGTATGCTTAGGCCGCTGGCTATACTGGGACTTGAAGGAGCTATTCTTATTACTGTTTTCTTCATGGCCTACCTGTGTGTTCGAAATGAAAAGACAGTGGATCCTCTCTTCTACGGTAAGGCCCACTATGTTTAGGCCGATATTGGCCAAATAGTAGAAATGTGATTATTGGTTGGTGATAACACTGGGGAAAGATTTCCCATATGAAAATGAAATATATTGTTATATGATGTTTATCTGATGATGTTTGTATATCCACAGTGTGGCAAGAATGCACAGTTTTACACCCTTTGAGTGTGACAGCCGTCTTTTACATTGTGTGAACATTTCATGGTGAATGGACGAATAGATGTGGTCCAAATTAACAATGACATAAAGTCAAATAAAATAAGGTCTTAATTTAATGCATGTTAATGTTAAGATATTGAATCATTCAAATGTTAATGGTATTGCACGCTATTGATATATAAAGTAAATTTTTCCCTTCTTCTGTAATAAGGTTTTATAAATAAGGCTTTATAAATGCTAATGTAAGTCTAAGTCCACTGTCATAAAAGGCTTAGATATGTGTCATGTAACTTTACAAAGGCTGCCTGATTTGGGTGATATGGCAAAAATGTAATACAACAATACTTCAGGATGTTAAACTGGCTGTACAAAGTAGTGCCACATTTAAAAAATACTATCAGAAACTAAGAATACAGTGATATTTGTTCAGTATTTCAGGTACTGTGTTGCACTAAATCCAATTAAACGGGACTAATCATGCTCTCTTTGTAATCAAACATGCAGCTGGGAAGTGTTTCTGAGTACTGACACTATCAACAGCATACTCAGAACAATACATTGTGACATATTGTGATGTAATTTGTCACGATAATGATAAATATTATCATATTGCCCAGCCGTACAGTTCAGTGTTACCCTATTTTCAATATAATCCATTTTTGGGTTACCATCGATCCATGCTGAAATGAATGAAACTGTGAGCCACAATACATTGATCTTCCTCAGATACTCAGATAATACTACCTGTGTGTATGCATGTGTGTGTGTGAGAGAGAGAGTATTTGTGTTTGATGGGGGGGGGGCGGTTTATTCATGCCCAGAAATGAACTTTAAGCTCATCTTTAATCCTGGACTTAGCTGTAATGGAGTCCACTCACCTCTTGGTGGACCGTCCCTGAAACAACACACAGTAATCAGTCAGCGGCCGAGCCTCAGGCTCCCTCAGGCTTTCTGTTCTGTTTGTCTGCCTGTCAGTCCTAATCCGCATCCCATCCTAGGCCTGCTGTGGCTATTCTTAAACATTAGGAAATGCCCTTTCCTGCACTGTAGGGTGGACATTGAGGAAAAGCAGGCCTATTTCTTTGTGATAGAAATCTAGCCTCAACTACATACCCACAGACCATCATAAACTCCTTTTAGAAGAGAAATCAATAGCTGGAGGGCAAAGGAAGAGAGAAAAATGTACAGGAGAATGAGAGAGGTGTACAGGCTGATGGAGAGAGAGAATAGATGAAAAAGGCTCAGGCCTGGGGGCCTAATTGTGATCATTTTCTATGTCTTTGTCTCCATTTCAGTTTTTGCAGTGTTTTCTTTCACCTCTGTTGCTGACCTCACGACTGCCCTTGAGCAGGATGGCCATATCAAAGGCTTTATGGCTTTCTACATTAATAAGGTAATGTACAAAAGACTTTCATAAATGCTGTACGTCTTGATTAATTGATCAAGTTTGATTACTCAATTAAAAGAAGCGAGAATTTACCACCTTAATGAATCAGCAGTGATTAGTCTGCAATTGGCATGATAATGCTTATTTTAAAGGGCCTATCATACATGTATCATACATTTGTCTTGTATTTTGTTTTCCCCTGAAGTCCACTTAAGTCATTTGTATGGTTTTATGTACCAAAGTCAGTCTTAATTTATGCTTCCTTGGCCATTTTCTAACCTCTCCTTATCCCTTACAATTAAACAGGCCATTTAAGTTACTTTGCTTTTAACTGACTGATATATATGTAAATGACCTCTGTTCTGATTGGCTGCCCTATATTGTGCCTGATTTAAAAAGGCTGATCCAGAATGACAGTCCTTATCTCTTTTTTTTTCAGAAAGGCTGGAGTTAAACTGCTTTAGACAGAATATATATACATAAGTGAATATATGTAAATGATTTTTTTGACATCGCCAAAACAATTAAACAGTTTTTACATTACTTAAAAAAGCAAGGTTTTCCATGATATGGGCCTTTTAAATTATGTTACTGGTCTCTTTTATGGTAAGAAACAGAGTTTGACAGACATTACTAGAAACAGACACTAGTTTTGATCATGTTTTGCTACATACAGTCATATGCAAAAGTCTGAACATCCCCAGTCGGATTACATGCTTTGCTGATTTTCAAAGTGAAAATAAGTTAATACATCCTCTACAGGGAAATATGAAATTTTTATGCAAATTTTGTTGCGCTATATCTATTTATTTGCAGGGTTCAACAGAATAAAACATAAAAAATAGAATGTGACATAAACTGAGCAATAAATGTGCAGAAGTGTGTTCTCTGTAGAGGATATGTAGTTTTTTTTTGCTTAGAAAATCAACATAACTCGTCATTTGACAAGGTTTGCCCAAATGTATACAATAAGTCATACAAATACTTGTTCAATTAAGTCATTGTTTGACCTTTCTACAACCGCTGATATTAATAATTAATTGTCAAGATAATTGGTAGATTACTCAATTACTAATGTAATCAGTAATGACAGTCCTAAAATATTGATGCACAGTGTCTTCTCTTGCTTGTAATGTTGACCTCCACTTTCTCAGGTACAATGACACTCAGACTCTAAGCTATTAAACCAAAGCTAAATGCAAGAAGCCAGCATGACATCATTTTCCCACTGTTTTTCTGGTACAGGGTGAGCCGTACTTAAGCACAGCCTATTGCATCATGATGAACTACTGGAACGGAGTGGTGCACTTTGTCCTTCTCCTCATGATTGTCCACTGCATGCGGAAAGGGTGAATATCCTGCATACACAGAGACGTAATGAGAATACACACATTAGGGAATCATTAGGGCTTCTGTTTGTGACTTCAGGATTATATTATATAATATACAGTGTAGCTGCTCAGTAGTGAATATATAATTTCTATAAGTTGTTTTTCATTAAAATTAAAAGTTTTCTTCTTTAGTTTTGCACTAGAGCTATGAGGCTAATGTAGCTAAGTTACCAACCTTGTAGAGCTCGATTAGCATCGTGCTAACTACATGCCTAAATCATTGCTAGCTTGCCTCAAAGCACGACAAAGTGTTAAGTAATGTCCAATAGACAAAAATTGATTCTTTGGTTTTGCATTGGAGCTATGAGGCTAATGTTGCTAGCTAAGTTAGCAAAGCATGTAGAGATCAATTAGCATCTTGCTGACTACATGTCTGAATTACCGTTTGCTTGCCTCAAAGCATGTCGAGTTGTTAAGGAATCTCCAATAGACATGTTTATACGGTTTCTGACACTGTATGACATATTCATAAAAATGGACAAAAGTATAACTAATTATAGCGAAGCATAGCTAAAAACAGTAGTAGCCATGTTCAAGCCTGAATTTTGTTTGTAGTTTGGACAATTTTTATAGATAAGAGTCTCAGAAACCACATAATCAAGTCTTTTTTGAGATATAACTTTCCGTTACTTGTTGGCTACATTAGCTTTGTAGGTCCAGTGCAAAACTAGAGAAGCAACTTCAGACACCAAACATGTAGTGGCTGGGCTAAGGAGGAAATTTTATGAATTTGATTTTGGGCCAAGCCACTACTTTAAGGTCATAAATATGCCCTTTCTCTTTCTTTCCTTCTCTGTAGGACACCGTATCGGAGTATTGCTCTACTTTGGGCTGGCTCCATGATAGCCACTCAGATCGTGTTCATCCCAGGCATTGTCATAGGTGAGGGAACTGAGCTCTTTCTAAACAAGTGAATGGCTTTATATCTGGGCCTGAAAGATATTCGGTAACACTTTACTGTAGGGTCCTGTTCATAAGGCTACATGACACCTACATAAGCTTGCCATGACAACTGACATAACCCTACATGTATGTTTATAAATGCTTATACCAATAGGCATCATCTGTCTTAAAGACTACTTTAGCTAACTTTGATCAAAATCAGCAAATGTAACCTTTACAGCGTATTACACCTATTGTAATAAGCATTTATAAACATTTACCTAGGGTTCTGTCAGTTTTCATGACAAGCTTATGTAGGTGTCATAGAGCCTTATGACCTGTACCCTACAGTAAAGTGTTACCAGATATTCTCTATTCTTTTTGTAACAGTGTCACTGCTGGTTAACTTACTGGTTTATGTCAGTATAACAATATAAAAATATGATACATGCTTGAACATTTCTATTTGCAGGAAAACATGCCAAGTCCATCTATCCAGCCTTTTGGCGCAATATCCTTTTCTTGGTTCTGCCCGTATGGGCAGCTGCGAAGCTTTACAACAGGCCGAGGGAGCTGCCAATCATTCCGGCAGACAAGGTGACTTTTCCCGATTTTAGCCCCAGTTAAGCATAGATTGTAGTCAGTGCTACTCATATCCAATTCTGAAACTGATTTGTTGAGTATAGATGAACGAATGAAGAAATGAAAGTCATTCAGGAAAGTCTGTGTCTATATCTGTGATGTGAAATATGCAAAATATGTGTTGTGTAAGGTTGTATTTGAAATGTCTTCTGTGTTTGTAGGTTGAGGAGGAGCAGAAGAAAGGACTATTATCTCGTCCCAAAGAACTTCTCCTCACACTCTGTCTGCTAGGAGCCATGGCCTTCACTGTTTTCAGAGGTTTTGTAAGTTTCATTTAATTATTTATTTATTCAAGCTTGACAAGCTTAACTTTTCCTTTGTTACCCCCTTCAATTCTCATGACATATCACCAGGTCCAGACGTCCATTCATAACTGCATGACTTGCATATTAGTCTCACAGAAGTTACTAAATAATATACTTTTAAGACTATTAACTGAATAATAAGCTTAGATTTTAAGGGAAAGTGTATCTGAACACTGATAACAGTCAGTGTTAAAGAGGAATACTGTTTTGGAACTCTCTTACAGGTTGTTCTTGAGTGTGCATTGGATATCTGTTTCACCTACATTTACCAGTACGAGCCCTACCTGAAGGACAATGTAGCCTTCTCCAAAGTTATGGTAAGAGCTGGTGATTGCGTTACTGAGAATATGTGTATGGAACGTTAGAGGAACACTTAGGCCAAAATGAAGAAACTTAAACATCTATTGTAAACTTTCCCACTTGCCTTCTACAGCAATAGTCTCTAGTTTTTTAGTTTATCTACTAGAAAAGCTGATCTGATGACATATGTTGAAGGTGGGAGGAACTTTAGAAAACTCAGGCCTTCTAGAGCTGGCTGTTTGTTTTTTTTTTTTCTAGCTGTAGAAGGAAGCCCGTTAGTTAACGTTACTGCTAGGAAGCTGAATGTCACATCTGTATTGATTACCTTCTATACCTTCTATTACGTAACATGACAAATAACATATGAAATGCTTATTTTAGACCGATATACCACTTTAATGAAGAGGCAGGTGTGCTAGAGAGAGTATAACACTACTTGTTTAGACCTAATTTGAGCACCTCTGGACAACCTCATGTTATCCTGTTCCACCCTGTTGTAGATGTTGGTCATCCTCTTCTATGCATTACCCATGCTAACGGCGTGCGTCTATGGGCTGAATATTCCGGGGTGCATATGGATGCTGGACTGGACTTTGCTCCTTGCAGGGGCCATAGCTCAGGTAAATCAGCCAGCTCACTCACCTTGATTCTGATGTAGTTATTTAACCAATGTAATTATATTCGACCAATGGACTAATATATATATATATATATATACACATATATAAGACATATATGGCCTGAGATTACTCACATCAAGAGAGGCAGAAACTGCAACCAACTTGTAAGACTGAACTTTGGAGGTGTGGATAAATATCCCTGCAGATTTCTTTGAAAAGCCCAAAAATCATGGAAATACAAATACTGAAAAATTCGATACTGTATTTAGTTGTTTAGGCCTCTGTGAATTTTTTCTGTTGAATGTTTTCTGCTTTATTCTTGATGCTGAAAAATGAGTAATTGGCCCTTAATAGCCGTTTTGGACAGGGTGGGTCACTTTTGCACAGTACTGTATCAGAGACTTCAGGAACAATGGGCAGAGTTAGCTAAATTTCAACTGCAGTGCCTGAGGACTGACATCATAAGCTAGAAATAACAAAAATAACACATTTTATGTGAAGTAACTAACATTATACAAAGCATAATTTTATTCTAACAAACCAATATTCTAACAAACCAATACCATGTTCCTCCAGACTCAGTGGGCCCACATTGGCGCGTCAGTGCACTCCCGAACCCCCTTCACGTACCGCATCCCTAAAGACGAGTGGAGGCTGGTCATGACGCTTAATGTGCTGTTCATGGCTGTTCCTCTGCTGCTGGCTCTGCACGTGTACAGACGGCCAGCCTTCTTCATGAAGACAGTGCCACCAGGACAAGCCAACAATGACAAAAAGCGAAAGTAGACACGGTACATGTGCAGAAACCACTGTCCAGGCCACACAAAGTCTTGTGAATTTACGGACCCAAACACCAGTGACAGCAAGGCCTTGGTGGCCACATTTTGAAAGGACAAAATAATTTTTCCTAACAGGTGCCTCACATGGATCCCGCGTGGTTAGAAACAAGAAAGTACTGTAAGATACTGATACTACTGATTGTGTGAGGGTTCTGGAGAGGGTAGATCATGCCTTCACATCGATCCTTCTATTAGTAAGTGCTAAAACCGCACCCTTATTGGGTTTTTCCAGGCACACAAAGTTGATGAAACTTGCCTCTTGCCTCCTCCCAAGTGCTTCTTGTCTCAGACTATTGGACTCAGATCAACATCACTCTTTTGGAGCAAAGCTTATCTCACTCATTGAGAATGAGTCATTTGATGAAATCCAGGCTTAGACAGACTCTGGACTCTGAACACACACGTTTCTGCCCACACAACATCAAGCGTAGAATTACTTCATACTGTTAGTCTTTGAAGACGGTTTACAAAAGGGCATTGGGTGCTGACTCGCAGTGTCTATTGCAAAGATGCCTTAAGAATCAAGTTTTTCTAACAAACCATTGTAATATACATAAAGTAGGATTGTTTCAAAAAATGCTTTATCAGTTTTTTTGTTTAAATTATCTTTGTTATGACCTTTTTGTTGTTCTTGCTTGTTTTGTTTGTTAAGATTTAAATCAAATTACTTGGTATGAGGATGAAGACAACCATGAACTATTTCCGTGATTAAAAACAAAACTGAACCTTCAGCATCTGAAAGTGCGAGACCAAAGCCAGCGTGTCTTATTAATGGGTGTGACTTTTCCTGATATGAACCCTAGTCTAGTCTTGTGAAATTCGCTGTTTATTGTTTTCTCAGGTTCAAAAGACGCAAAGTATTGGAAACTTGGGCCCAATCCCATTTCATCCCTTGCCCCTACCACTTAGCCCTTAGCCCTTTGTTTTGCGTGTTCACGTCTGGGGTAGGGTGTTCCGATTATGTTGAGATAGAGGGGTAGGATGAAGTGTTAGGGCTATATCGCTCTCCAAACTGAGCATAATGAGAAAAAAGGAAAAACTGGCAAGATGGCTGCACAAGCGACCAAAGAAACCCACAAATGTGAGTATTTTCTTAGTTAAAAAATTACGATAACCATCGTATTGTCTTAGTTTATTGTCGTTTCAATGTATTATGGTCCTTTTCTTCATGACAAGCATAAAAATCACTAATAGTATGCTGATGTCTTGGTAGCTAGCTAGCTAAATTTCCTGTTCCACTTTAAATAGTCCAGCAGTACTTGAGCAGTACTGATGCCTGAAGTGCCAGAATACAACCGCTGTGCCATTTAAGGTGGAACAGGAAATTCAAACAAGAAGCTGGCAAATATCTGACTTCAGCTTCATATCACAGAAGAATTAGGGGTGGGTGATAAGAAATAATTGTTGCGTCTCCCTCTTTTAAGGCATGTTATGTCAAAAATGTAACTAAAGCCCAGCAGTGAGGCTGCTGAACTTTACCCTCCCCTGCTATTACTGCAGAATGGCAGGGTTGCCTATAGAGCACCGCTAGTAGCAAGTAATGTTAATGAAGTAATGTTCTTTTTTATTTGAGGGTTGTCTCATTTCATAGGGACGATTTCAACCACTACCCCTTGTAACTCAGTTCTAAGGGACAAGATGACAGTCAAAAACAAGGGGTAGAGGTAAAAATAAGAAATGGGATCGGGCCTTAGAGATTAGATTCACATTACAGATGTGCGACTTTATCTCATGACTATAAATAAGAGCTAGGGGAGCACATGACCATTACAAACCCTCCATTTGGTTGCCTTGCCAAGCCACTGCCTCTTGGCTGTGTGCCTCACTGATGATATCATGCCGGCCATGGACTGAATGAAACTACAGTTGGCCTAGTGAACTCTGACCCGGTTGCTTGCTCTTTGACAAAGATAACTAGGGAATGTCTGTGAAGTTTTGCAACAGTGCTGTTAATCAGAAACTGGCCTGTCACTGAGTGGCTCTGGGCAGAAATGGAGATTAGTGAAGTCATTTTGGTGAACGTGGAGATAAGCTATTAAGAGGTTAGGTGGTGTCATTATCAAGCAACCGATTTCAAAATGTCATTAAATGTGTGCCAAACTCTTAGGAAAGCCTGCTGCCATGTTTCCTTTGTTGTTTATTTTAAAGCTAATCCTGTCAAAACGTTTCATAATGACTCACAATCTCACTGAAGTTCTTTGAATTAAGCCTTGTTGCAATGGAACACATTTCAGTCGCCCTCAAACAGATGTTTCTCAAATCACCTCACTTAAGATATCAAAAGCAGTGGCATAGCAGCACATTTCGTGAAGCGCTTTTTAGCAAAACGTACTTTATTTTCAATATATTACAAGAGTGATAGGATTAGTGACTGTGCTCATTGTTAAAAAGATTAGTTATCTGCCACTGCCCTTTAGCACAGACCTCTGAAGTCGTCATATTGTAGTCAGCTGCATCCCAGATGATCTGGATTATTTGAAGGTATTTTTCCTCCTTACTCAAAATGTTATATTAGCAGCAGGATGTATGTGATTATCTTCAATCCAGAATTTATTTGGGCACTTCAGAGTGTATAAATTGATAGCAAAATTTTTTATTGTTTTTTAGCTAAGCACTATTTAGGAATTACACTTTCTTTGGCTTGATCTTAGACATCACAGATAACACTGATTGACAGATTGACACTGCAGGCCCTTTAACTCCGGATCTTTAACTCATTTAACTCTGGAACTAAGCCTTCTTACTTCTTATGTGAAAAATGAAAGGCATTTTCAAAATTTACTGCTGTTATGGTCTGTAAGCGAATACAGACAGAAATATTGGCACCCTTTTAGTTTTCCAGATAGAGCAACAATTCTTTTAGAAAAGTTGTTGAAATTAAAGTGCTTTGTTGTCACATACAGTGGGGTCCAAAAGTCAACTAGTACAAAAATAGACCACATCTATTTTGCATTCTTTTTTTTAATTTAATGCACTTTGTGCATAACAATTTAAGTGAAAAGTAAAATCTTTGGAATATTTACATGAATCTCAGACTGTGTTTGGTTTGTCCCTCTTTTGCTTTAATGACTGTCTGCACTCAAGCTGGCCTATATTTTGTAGTTTGTGCAGAAGCCTCTGATGAGCAGACTAAAAAGACTAAAAATCTGATCTTTACCTACAAAGCCCTAATTATGTCACAAATATGCTCAAATGAAAATGACACTAGAGGTAGTGCAGCTTCTTGCATATTTCTTTTTTGTTTTACTTGTCATGACTTTTGTTTGTTTAAACTTTTTCACAGTTTTAAAACTTTGTCATTTATTTCCAGGTTTAAATGGAAAAATCCCAGATTTTCAATGTGGTCTCACACTTTTAGACCCTGTAGCTTGTATTTTCTTTGTTTGCTTTGGAACAAAACAGCTGAGAAAAAAAGCCAAATCTGATCTTCTTCCACATAGAATAAATATAGACTGGACAATATTGTTGGCACCGCTTAAAAATTGAAAGACCTAATTGGATTTCAAGCAGGTGAACCTTCTTTAATTCGTAATTAAACTCACATTTGAGAATGCAAATGTGAAGGCAATATAGAAATCATAGTTTTAACCAGTACAAGTAGAGGAAAGTTGAGTCAAGCTTTTTGTTGTTTGTCTGTGTGTACCACACTGAGCAGGGAGAAACAAAAGAAGGGGGAATTGTCTGAGGATTTGAGAAACAAAACTGTAGAAAAGCACAAGCAATACCAAAGCTACAAGTCCATCTCCAGAGATCTTAATGTTCCTGTGTCCACTGTATGAAACCATCAAGCAGTTTGCAGTCCATAGCACTGTAGCTGAGGTTGTGGCGAACGTTTGTTCAAGCGGTGAAAGAAAAATCTTTCACTCAACTTCCAAACACATTCAAGCTGAGCTGCTGAAACAAGGTACAACAGTGTCAGCTCACACTTTCTGTTATCATCTGAATGAAAGAGGACTCTGGTAGGAGGCCCAGGAGAACCTCACTGCTGAGACATAGAAAAGCCAGACTGGAATTGGCAAATAACTTACCTCAGGAAGCCAAAATCCTGGGAGAATGTCCTGCGGACAGGTGAGACCAAAATAGATCTTTTGGTAAAGCACATCATTGTTCTGTTTACAGAAAATACATTTATTTTGAAGAGAAGAACACAGTCCCCGTTGTCAGACCTGGAGGAGGTTCACAGATGTTTTGGGATTGCTTCAGTGCTTCTGGCACCAGGTGCCTTGAATGTGAACATGGCACATAAAATCGAAACATTACCAAAGAACTTTGGTGTGCAACATAGGGCCCAGTGTCAGTAAGCTGGTGAAGGTCATGGATCTTTCAGCAGGACGATGACCCAAAGCCGTATTTCCCAACCCTCGTCGTGGAGGCACACTGCCCTGCACATTTTAGTGCTTTTACTGCTTTGATGTACCCTCTACAGAATGTAAAATATGCAGGGCAGTGCCCCTAGGAAGAGGGCTGGGAAACAGTGACCCCAAGCATATGTCAAAAAGCACCCAGAAATGGTTTGACGAAGCGCTGGACTGTTCTGAAGTGGCCATCAATGAGTCTAGATCTCAGTACCATAGAACATGTCTTGAGGGATCTCACAGCAGTGGTTGGAAGACGACACATGGAACAGATCGCAAAAGAACAGTGGTCCAAAATTCCAGTAGAGGTACAAGAAACTGATTCATGCTTGATTTAGTTATTATTTCCAAAAGGTGTGCTACCACATATTAAGTTGAGGGTGCCTGTAATTTTGCCCATGTCATTTGTTGTTTGAATGTACATATATATATCATTTTAATACATATAAGACCTGAGTGGACCAAAAAGTACTATATTATTAGTGAAATAAAGAATTGTGGAAAGCTGCTTTTGGCAATATCAGTAGTTTATGGAGTGAATTGAATTATTTTAGAGAAATTTATGAGTTTATTTCGAAGAAAAATGACAATGTTTTACATCTGATGTTTTCTCCATCACTGGATCACCTGAATTTTTAAATCATTAAGGACTTTAAATATGAATATTGCTACAAACAAGCTAACACAGCATTGAAATATACCCCACCCTGCATAAAAAATACCCGACATAAACCACGTAGTAATTAAAATGGTAGTTAAACTCATTTAGTAGCCCACATTTGAGAAGCTTGGCTTATTTGGGCATGACATGAACTACAAAATCACACACGATTTCAGAGGCCTGTTCTTATTTAGGAAATGCTCCAAAGCTAACACCTTCTTTGTCACTTCTACAGTGAAACCAGTAAATGTGGCCATTGAACAAATGCTACTTGAAGCCTCTGCATGACATTTAAAGCTGCACAATGTAAGATTGTTTTTAATAGTTTGAAGGAGTAGCATTACTGAGTTAGAAGTAAAGTAAATATGGCATGTATGCTACTGTGAGTCACCCTATAAAGACTGAAATAATCGGGTAAAAGTCTGAGGTGTCGGGGGAGATTTCGCTGGAGTTTTTGGACCATGTCATGTGTCTTTACGTATTAACGTTACACAGACAGGCTGAAAAAGTAAGGCTCAATGTTTGGGTCTCAAATGCAAAATTAACATTATACTGATGAAGATATGATGACAACAGTAGGTAATTCACTTACATCCTCTGAAGACACATCCTTTGCCATGTTTTGACTGAGTTCTCTTTGAATACATATTACTGGTCACTGGGCACTCTTTTACACCGAAAGGATAAACTTGCAATCTAAACATAAAGTAATAATTTTTATATTAGGTTTTTTTTCTC